CCTCACAACTGTTGCAAAAATGTTGGTAAAACATTGAGCTTGAACTCGGCTAATGGATTATCGGAAGACAGTCGGGCATTCAGCAAAGAGGTGGGGGTGGGGGGGAAGAAACCAGTGCTCTTTACAAAACAAAAGCAGGTTAACCCTTTAGAAATAAAATAGAGTGCACTGTTACAGGTATGGTTATACATTATGTGAAACATATCTATATCTCTATAAAATATATATAGAATATAAAATTGTGTACTAAAATAATGCCCTTCAAACCCAACATTCATGTAACTAATTTTAATCTTACAGTTTTTAATTTGGATTTTAGTATTAGTGTTTCTCATTTCTCTGTTGAAACCCTCTTAAATTGGTGGAAGACTGCCATAAAGATTTGATTAGATCAGCTGCGGTTTATTGAATGTCAACCATAGGCTGGGTCTGCACATTCCATTAACCTTCATATGCTTTATTTGATGTTGTCTTAGGATGCTGTGGGAACGCAGTTGTTCTCTAGCTGAATTCACACACCTTGCCAAACCAAAATTGAACAAACATTACGATTTTCCTTCCTGTGGTGCAAATGTGCCAACCCTGGTTCTATCACACATTCGTACAAATTCTCAGGACCATTTGGCTGAGAGAGACGGGCTTTTACTTAAGTTTGCCCAGCAAAGGTTGCACAACGCTCTGGACTGTCAGTGGGGTTAGGAAGATGCATAGCGGTTCTGAAGAACGTTCACGCAAATTGTGCTCATTTCTCCACATGAAGGAGGAAAGAGTCTGCATAAGGCCACAAAATCTCTCCTGGAACCGAGCTGGGACACAGTGTAGGGCCGTAGGCGGATTGTGGGAACGTGAACCGGCGTGAGATCTCCGTTTAGCCCTCGAGGCGTCGACACCTAGCTGTCTTTCAGCCGTCTGAGTCCGTAGCTCCCGTCAAGTCTTGACAGCAAAACACAGCCTCTCTCTCTCTCCCCCTCGCTGCATTCATTGGCCCCGTGGGGCGCAGTGCTCGGACCGGGGCTCGCGCTGGTTGGTCCTTCCCGAGTGAGGGGCGGGGATAAACGAGGATTTCCCAGGGAAGCTAAGTTTCGCTTCTGCTGGGGCTGAATGAAAATGCGGCAGCCGCTGTTCAGATCCTTAAAGGTAGGCGAAACCATCGTGCATAACGGAGCGCTTTCTTGCCTCTTTCCCACAACTACCGTTTTTACTGCTTCGCCTTCAGGGGGGAAAAATAGTGTAAGCGTATCCGCCGACGCGTTGCCTTCGCGGCTTTCCGTTCTGGATCTTTTGCGAATCACCGCCGAACAAGCACCCGCTTTGCTTCTCCGGCTCCTTCCATTTACACGGATGTCTCCCGAGGAAGCAAACCCCTTCTGTCCCTTTAATCCACCTAAGTTTGAATTTCTAGTTCTCTGTTCTTCGCCAGGAGTCCTCAGTTCTAATCGCACATACAGCTTCCAGTATTCTGGGTCCTCCTATTGAACTAAGAAGACAGACAGACAAATATGCTTGCATGCCTTCGAGTCAGTGTTGACTTGCCCCTCCGGTTTTCTTGGCAAAATTTTTGGAAGTGGTTTGCCCTTGCTTTTTTTTTAGGGTTGAAAGAGGCTGACTGGCCCAAGGTCACCCAGCTGGCTTCCTACCTAAGATGGGACTAGATCTCACGCTCTCCTGGTTTCTAGCCTGATGCCTTAACCACTACAACAAACTGGCTCTCTAAGAAGAATTTACTCCTACCATAAATCTGGAATTTCAGTGCGCCCCTGCGGCTGTGCTGGACTATAACACCCATATTCCCAGACAGGATTGATGGAGATCACGGGAATTGTGGTCCAACATTGGAAGACAGGTCTATAATGAAGTGGCAGTGTCACTAGCCCCCACCAGGCCCGCCTTGTTTCTGGACATGTTTATTCAGGCTGAACTTTCAAAATGTTTGCCTGGCAGTAGAGACGAGGTGGATTCCTGCAGCCTAAGGAGAGTGACGAATGAGATGCAGTGCCGTTTAGACTAGTGCTGAACAGCTAATGTTTACATTCCAATTGCGATGAAGAGAACTTGCCCATCAATCAGACGGCGATGCATCTCTGCTGGAGATGTCCCTTGTGTAACAGAGAGGCAGTTTAATTACAGGCTAAGGAAAAAAATACTGCAGTATTTGTTTTCTTTCTTTCTCCCTTCCCCTAAAATCCCTGATTAATGCCTGATCTATTGGTACTGACTCTTTTTTATTCTCATTTTGTTGCTTCGGGAACAGCCAACTTCAGTGATAAAATTCATGTTTTGTGTGCCTAAGTCCCTGATCAAAGCCCCCTGCCTTCTCCAGAGAGAGTTGGCCAACAGCCCAGTCTAAAATCTAGGAATTCAAACATAACTTCCAAGAGTTCTAGCTAACCTCTTAAATCAGAGCAAGCAAAATGGCCAGTTGTTACACTACAGTTCCCATAACTTCTGATAATTAGTAATGTTGGCATGGGCTGATGGGAATCAAACAAGCTCTGGGGGGCTAAAAACTCCCAGCTGTACCTTAGATTGCTACATTAAATATTTGGGAAAGGTCTCTTACCTTGTTATGTGTAGGGAGCCACAGAGATGACTTTGGAGAAGCCATCTAGAAACTGTTAAGACAACAGGTGCAAAAGCAGGGATTAAAATATACAGGTGAAACTCGAAAAATTAGAATATCGTGCAAATGTTCATTTATGTCAG